AGAGCTCTCTCAGTCCCACCTACCTCACAGGGTGTCTGTTGTGGGGAGGGGAAGGGGAAGGAGTTTGTAAGCTGCTCTCAGACTCCTTTGGGTAGTGAAGGGCCATGGGGTATAAATCCAATCTCTTCTCTCAGCTCTGGTATTCTTTGGAGGTCTCCCATCCAAATACTCGCCACGGTCGGCCCTGCTTAGCTTCCGAGATCTGACTAGATTGGGCTTGCCTGGGCTATCCAAGTCAGGGCAAAGTTGACTAATTTTCAAGTCATTCCCACCTCTCAAAACCAATGCTCTCTCTAAGCTGTGGAGCCTTGTGAGCAAAAATCCGACTTTGTGAACTACTGGCATTAAAGCTGTGAAGCGAGTTATTTGGCTACTGCATGCACGAGTTTGCTCTGGAGCCCCATCCTTCCCGAGCGGAGACGAAAATGTGTGAGCCGGAGGCTAAAAAACTGTGTGTTAGCTCACACTAACTCAGCTTAGAGGGAACACTGCTCAGAACCCTAACCTCAAAACACTATAGTGATGGCAGCTTCCGTGTGTGTGTAAAGTGCTGTCCAGTCACAGCTGACCTATAAGGCAACAGACAGAATAAGGAGCAAAAGGTGGGTGTGGCTGGATGACCATACTTCTGGTAACATGGGGGTGTGGCCTAATGTGCTAATGAGCTGTGCTGTCAGGGGTGTGGCCTAATAGGCTAATGAGTTCCTGCTGTTGGGTGTGGCCTATTATGCTAATGAGCTCCTGCTGGGCTTTTTCTACAAAAAGAGCTCTGGCCCAGGCCATCCAGGTGAAGGCGACTTTGACTTGCAAAAGCTTATACTCTGGAAACTTTTGTGGGGCTTTAAGATGCTACCGGACTCTCATGTTGTTCTCCCAATAATCAGAAACAGAACTTGTTCAGGGCTGCAATCCTACATGCCTGCTTATTGGCAAGTGCCAACACAGGAGCGGGATGTGCGATTTAAAGACAAAGCGTGGGCCTCAATCCTATACCAGAGAGCCAGTCTGGTGTAGTGGTTAAGTGCGCGGACTCTAATCTGGGAGAACCGGGTTTGATTCCCCACTCCTCCACTTGCAGCTGCTGGATGACCTTGGGCAAGCCGCAGAGGTCATTTTGGGGGGGATTGCGGGGGATCGCAGTTCCCCCGGGTGAGGGGCACACGACGAAGCCACACCCCCTGCTTCCGGCGGCTGCTTCCGGCAGCCCCGCTTCCGGCTCTCATTCAGCCAGGAGGAGGCAGGAGAAGAGGGAGGGTAAGTTGCTTCCTCCCCACCTCTCCCCACCCCTGCCTGCCTGGGGCCAGGGAGGGCCTTGGCGGGGCTTCTTCGCACTCCCGCCGGCCTTGCAGGTCCACCGCCGGGCCTTATGATGTCAGGGGGTGTGGCATATGCTAATGAGTTCCCCTAGCTCTTTTTCTACGAAACGACCCCTGGCAAGCCGTAGTTTTGATAAGAGCTGTTCTTGAAAAAGAGCAGTTTCTGCCAGAGCTCTCTCAGCCCCACCGACCTCACAGGGTGTCTGTTGTGGGGAGGTGGAGGGAAAGGAGGCTGTTAGCCACTCTGAGACTCCTTTGGGTAGTGAAGAGCGGGGTATAAATCCAATCTCTTCTTCTTCTTCTATACAACTTTACTCAGAAATCCAATGAGCAGCTCAGGTAAGCAGGCACAGGATCGCAGTGTAGCCTCAAACAAAGCCCCCAAACACAAGAAGATATCTAATAAATAAAACTGGAGCTGGTAGTCTGTGCCTTGAGCTGCTCTTAGATGCAGCACTACCACTAGGGATCCATACCGCCCCCCTCCCCCCAAGCACACTTCTCCGCAGCACTCACCTCGTCGGTAACCATTAACAAACCCCATAGGGCTGTAATTCCGTGATGCCAACCACCCCGGGAGCTGACCCAGTTTGATGTCCAGCAGCTTCAAGTCTTTAACAGGAACTAGAAGAGAAGAATACAAGCAACGGTGGGAGGGCTTCTAATGTCCTGGCCCCACTGGTGGACCTCCTGATGGACCCTGGTATTTCTGGCCACTGTGTGACACAGAGTGTTGGACTGGATGGGCCTTTGGCCTGATCCAACATCGGCTTCTCTTATGTTCTTAATATGGAGCAGAGGTCCATCAGTGGCTATTAGCCACAAGGTACAGATAGGGACTCTCAGTCTGGGGCAAGTGATGCTCTGTCTTCTTGGTGCTTGGGGGGGCAACAGTGGGAGGGCTTCTAGTGTCCTGGCCCCACTGGTGGACCTCCTGATGGCACCTGGCATTTCTGGCCACTGTGTGACACAGAATGTTGGACTGGATGGGCCTTTGGCCTGATCCGACATGGGCGTCTCTTATGTTCTTAAGCAGGGAGAGCAGGCAGACCGTGAGAGGGAAGGCAGGCAGGGCTGCACCAGCGCTTAGTCCCTGTGGCCCTTTCTTGCACACCCAGGGAAGTGCTGATTGCCACACTGGGTTCAGGAAGCAACTTTTCTCCAGTTTGGCCGGGGACCCTGGAGACTTTTTGCCATCTTCTGGGCACGGAGCAGGGGTCACTGGGTGCGTGCGTGTGTGTGGGGGGGAGGTATTTGTGAATGTCCTGCATTGTGCAGGGGGGTTGGACTAGATGACCCTGGAGGACCAACTTGTTGGATTTCTTCTAACCATACCGGGCCCCAAGGATGCTAGACTGGTCGTCACGAGGGCTAGGGCTTTCTCGGTGGCGGCCCCTAACTGGTGGAACGAGCTCCCAGAGGAGATCCGGGCCCTGCGGGATCTGGTGCAGTGCCGCAGGGCCTGCAAGACGGAGCTCTTCCACCAGGCTTTCGATTAGGGGCCGCCGCCGTCCCCCCCCCCGCTATATACCATCAATGTGGGGGGGGCGAGGGCCCTAGGAGGCTAAGAGGAACATCTGAGGAACATCTGTTTGGCACCTCTTACACTATGCCTACCAGGGGATGTTTGGTGTGTGGTTTGTCCTCTCTGATATCTTGATATGGACGCTGTGTAGTTTGAGCACTTTACTAGTTGACTGGGTTTTAAATCTGTACAGTATGTTTTTAAATATACTAAAGTATTGCTGTTTTTATGCGCAAGTTTTTGCCATGTAAGCCGCCCTGAGCCCTACGGGGGGGGAGGGCGGGGTATAAATTTAACGAATAAATAAATAAATAAATAAACTCTACGCTCCTAGGATGGGCGGGTAGGCAGGTGCATCATTTTAAAGGCGTGCATCAACACGAGGAAAGGGGCGGCGGCGGCGGCATTGCGGTGCCTGCTGGATTTTCGGCCTCGCCAAGAATCTCTGGCTCCGTTCGAAATGCAAGGGACGAGGACGGCAGATCCACGCATGCGCACAAGGCGCGCGCGCAGGGGGGGCGGTTTGCACAAAACGGGCCTCGTCATTCGGAGCCACCCACCCACCCACCGGGCTCCTCCAGGGGCCAAGCCCGAGGACTTGGGGTCAAGAGAGGATTCCCCTCGCCGGACCGGGTCGCCACGGAGCCGGGTCACCTTGAAGCCTCCCTTCCGCCGACAGCCCCTTACCGGGTCGGTCCGCCATCTTGCCGCTGGCCGGGGAGCCGTCGCCTTGGCTCGCAAGGGTCTCTGGGAGAAAGACTAGAGGCTCACGGGAAGGAGGGCGGCTTCTTTTGAGCGCCATGATGGGCAGGTCTGCGGGGCTGATTGGCGCGGGCGCGTTTCAAGGCTGCGGGACACGGTTTTGGTCCCCGCAGAAGCTTTTGGGGGCTGGACCCCATCTCTCCGGGTGCAGTGCAGACGTTTCAGGCGTGCTTGCGTGGAGGGTTAGGGCTAGGGGGTGCCCACTCCGGATTAGGAATTAAGGTTGCCAGCCTCCAGGCGGGGCCGGGAGATCCCCCCCCCCCCTTTGACAACTGATCTCCAGCTTGACAGAGATCAGCTCCCCTGGAGAAAGTGGCTGCTTTGGAGGGTGGGGTCTATAAGTTACTTCGTTCAAAGATTTATTGAGGAATGTATCATTCTTTAAAGCTCACTTTTTTATGTAATTAGTGTGTTGGTTTGAATGTATAACTGTTCTTATGACCTTTATGTATATTTTTATTGTTATATTTGTTTTAATCCTACCAATAAAATGTTAATGAGAAAAAGACACGTTATCCAGGGCTCTTTTTGTAGAAAAAGCCCAGCAGGAACTCATTAGCATAATGAGCCACACCCAGCAGCAGGAACTCATTAGCATATTAGGCCACACCCCCTGGCACCACCGCTCATTACCATGTTAGGACGCACCCCCATATTTGTTTTAATCCTACCAATAAAATGTTAATGAGAAAAAGACACGTTAACCAGGGCTCTTTTTGTAGAAAAAGCCCAGCAGGAACTCATTAGCATAATAAGCCACACCCAGCAGCAGGAACTCATTAGCATATTAGGCCACACCCCCTGGCACCACCGCTCATTACCATGTTAGGACGCACCCCCATGTTACCAGAAGTGTGGTCATCCAGCCACACCCACCTTTTGCTTCTTATTCTGTTCACCTTGTTTGTGGTCCAAACCCAGGGCCTTTTTTTTTGTAGCAGGAACTCCTTTGCATGTTAGGCCACACACCCCTAATGTAGCCAATCCTAATGAATTTCTGCTGTTGGGTGTGGCCTATTATGCTAATGAGTTCCTGCTGGGCGTGGCCAACTCGGGAGCCAGCCGGAACTCCGTTCCTGTGCGTTCCTGCCCAAAAATAGCCCTACAAAAGACACATTATGCAGCTAACATTCATGGACGGAGTACTCCTGTCATTCCCAAGGCTGCATGGTATTGACCTGGTTCTCTCTCTTGCAGCACCGGCATAAAGCATCCGTACAAGAAGGCTGTCCCCCTTTTTGGAAGACTTCATGCAAGGAGAAGTGGGCTTATGATTCTAGAAATTCCCGTTGGGACTTGACTTTTAAAACACTGATGCAAAATTGTCTGGTAGTTAGGAGTCTGTATGTGTTGAATGTTATTGCTGATTGAATGTAATGAATATTTATACCTGACTAGGATGAAATAATGATACACTATGCACTTTACTCAGTGGGAAGGTCACAGTGTTCTGTGCGCCTCGGTGTTTAGTCATGCCGGCCACATGACCACGGAAACGTCTTCGGACACCGCTGGCTCTTCGTCTTTGAAACGGAGATGAGCACCGCAACCCTAGAGTCGGATTCGACTGGCTTTCGAGCAAGGGAACCTTTAACTTTTTTATGCACTTTACTAAATGATGACCATAAATAGAACACATTAGTTTGCTAAAATGTTTTTGCAGTGTGTATTTATTTGTTACTAGACCCAACTGGAGGTTGGCAACTCCAGATTTTGACATTCCTGGAGTTTTAGGGGTGGTGCCTGTGGAGCAAGGAGCTTGTTATTTATTGAGTTTGAATCATCCCTGGTTGAATCACCCTAGAGACTGACTGAGCTTGGAGCACAAGAACAATAGCCGAGCAGGACTCTGGAATAAACCAATCAAGTAGTAATATTTTGTAAATAGCCTATCACGGGGTGCGGGTGTGGTGTTTTGCATGCATATAAGCAGGGCTCCGGCCCTGCTAGAGTTGTCTTAGAGTTAAGCTGAAATCACTAATAAACTATGAGCTGATCACTATACGTGTCTGAACCCAGTATATTTCAGAGCTTGGGGTGGGATTGCATCTGGGATCCACCATCTGAAGATGACATTTGCTCCAGGGGGAACTGATCTCTGCAGTCTGTAATCCTGGGCATCTCCAGATCCCGCCTGGAGGTTGGTAACTTTAGCTCCTCCCTTGTAAAATGTCTCCATAGTGAACAGCAGTTAACTGCAAGCAAGCTGCGGCTTATTTTGCAATACAGTATCCAACTTTACGGTGCAGATGAAGAAGTGAGCTCTTCTTGATCCTGAAACAGGATGCTGTAATTCCCTGCAGGAAAATCCAGTTGCAAATGACTGCTGCTGTGCCATAAAACTGGAGACCTGCTTTAGACTGGTCAACTCACTCTCAGCCTCACCTCCCTCACAGGGTTGTTGTGAGAGTGGGATGGTGGAGGAGGAGTACCTGCCCTGAGCCCCTTGTAGGAAGTGTGGAGAAAATTTGACAAATAAATAATCATAAATCCCTTTCTCCCTCTCCCACCTCATTTCCTCTATTTTTCTCTTGCTTTCGTCCTTGTATATTTTCTTGCATGCATTGCCTTTATATGTCTATATACTGCTTTTCTCTGCAGTTGGGACTCAAAGGGGGGGCTTAGAGCGCCGTTCCCCTCGCCTCCATTCTCTCACAACAACCCTGTGAGGTAGGCCGGTCTGAGAGTTTGCAAGGGGCCCAAGGTTCGATCGTAGAAGTGGGAATTCAAACCCGGGTCTCCCAGTCCGGTATTGTATCCACTACACCACTGAAAACAAACCTTCAGGATTGTAGAGAGTTCAGAATATTGAATCATGTCTCTTAGCATCCAACCGGGAAATATATATCTAAATCAGTCAAAGGAATATTGACATCTATAAATCGATGATCATGTCAGAACTCGGAAACTCAGCAGGGTCAATACTTGGAAGGGAGACCTCCAAGGAAGGCTCTGCAGAGGAAGGCAAGGGCAGACCACCTCTGCTTCTCACTTGGCTTGAAAGCCCCTTGCTGGGGTCACCATAAATCTTGGAAGGGAGACCACCAAGGAAGGTTCTGCGGAGGAAGGCAACAGCCAACCAACTTTGCTTCTCAGTTGCCTCAAAAGCCCGTTGTTGGGGTTGTCCTCTATCTATCTATCTATCTATCTATCTATCTATCTATCTATCTATCTATCTATCTATCTATCATCTATCTATCTAAAAGAAAGTCCCCTCACCATAAAATCAACGCCCAGGCCAAACCGCTGGATCTAGAAACACGAAATTCAGGGAGAGTGCTCCTACCATGGCGTAGATGCTCACTAAGAAGGGATTTTCAGAAATTCGACCCCTAAGTGGGTCAAAAGGGGTAAAATGCAGGGCTTTTTTTTGTAGAAAAAGCCCAGCAGGAACTCATGAGCATGATAGGCCACACCGAACAGCAGGAACTCATTAGCCTATTAGGCCACACCCCTGACAGCACAGCACATTAACACATTAGGCCACACCCCCATGTTACCAGAAGTGTGGTCATCCAGCCACACCCACCTTTTGCTTCTTATTCTGTTTACCTTGTTTGTTGTCCAAACCCAGGGCCTTTTTTTGTAGCAGGGACTCCTTTGCATGTTAGGCCACACACCCCTAATGTAGCCAATCCGAATGAGTTCCTGCTGTTGGGTGTGGCCTGTTATGCTAATGAGTTCCTGCTGGGCGTGGCCAACTTGGGAGCCAGCCGGAACGCCGTTCCTGTGGGTTCCTGCCCCAAAATGTGCATTCCTGGTAAAATGTGCTCCCCCCATTGATTCCTATGCGGCTGCCAGGCTGCTGCCTCCTTGCACCCCCCCCATTCTCTGATTGATCAGCTGCAGGGCTCAGAGCCTGTTCGATAAAATTAACCTTTCTGTTTGAACTTTACTTTGTGCCAAGTGTCATTTCCAAAAGGGCTTTATAAGAGGGCTCCTGCTGAGTTACAATAAATCTCTGGCCTGGGCAAAAGCCAAACAACGTCTCCATCACATGGTGGGACACGCAGAAAGTTGTAATTCTATCATTCAGATACGCTACTAAGGGGGGGCAGTGTTTTGGTGGGGAAATCTGCCTCACAGAGAAGAAGAAGCAAGAGTCCATCATACCTGCAACCTAGGAACGGGGAAGGAAAGAGTTACAAGATATGGCTTTGGAAGTCTTTGCGGTCCCATTTGACTGTCCGTGCTTGAGATTCAAAGCAGCGTAAAGTGGCCCTTCTCCCCGAGGCCAACAAACGCCCACGCTGTAGCCTGAGAAATGGCAAAACGATGTCTTGACAGTTACACTTCCTTACTGGCCGCCCAAGCAAGATCTCCTGGGAACTTCAGATGGAAAAGGTGAAACAGAAGAGCTCCGTCACAGTCTCCAGGCATGGGCGGGTGGGAGAGGCTGGTATTTTGTGGCCTGACCTTTTGGCTTCTCGTTGTCCTTTGTCTTCAGTCCACCGGGTGGTGAGGAGGGGGGATTTTTAAATGCCAAAGCGAGATGGCACCCCCCCACTTTTCCATAGGGTAATCATATGCCCTGAGCTAGAAAGCCCATCCTAGCCCAATCTTGTCACTTCTTGGAAGCTAAGTAAGGTCGGTCCGGGTTAGTATTTGAATGGGAGACCACCAACGAAGTCCAGGGTCATTACGCAGAGGCAGGCAATGGCAAAACCACCTCTGAATGTCTCTTGCCTTCTACAGGGTCACCAGTCAGCTGCAACTTGAGGGCAAACAATACATACATAGAGTCAATTTTGCTTTATTTTCTACTTCCCCTGACGAAGCGAATTGTGAAACGCATAGGGATCCACAAGAACGAAATAAAAAAATTTCACCTCGCGCCTGTGCTTCTGTCTTCTCTGCCTACTGGTGTGGCCATTCTCGTCTCCTTTGCTTTCAAGGTGGCTCAAGTGGTGAAGACGCTGAACTGCAGGCTGTGGAAGGTCAGTAGTTCAGCAGTTCGAGACCCGGGTGTGCCGCAT